TGCGTGAATTATATAGTCTTTTTGTGAAAAATTGTTAAAATTTGTGAAAATGCGTGAATTAGTGTCTTTTTGTGAAAAATTGTGAAAATTTGTGAAAATGTGAATTATTGTCTTTTTGTGAAAAATTGTGAAAATTTATGAAAATTTTTGAATTATAGTCTTTTTGTGAAAACTTGTAAAAATTTGTGAAAATGGGTGAATTATAGCCTTTTTGTGAAAAATTGTGAAAATTTGTGAAAATGCGTTAATTATAGACTTTTTGTGAAAAATTGTTAAAATTTGTGAAAATGTGTGAATTATAGTCTTTTTGAGAAAATTGTGAAAATTTGAGAAACTGCGTGAATGATAGTCTTTTTGTGAAAAATTGTGAAAATTTTAGAAACTGCGTGAATTATACTCTTTTTGTGAAAAATTGTTTAAATTGTGAAAATGCGTGAATTATAGTCTCTTATAGTCTTTTTGTTAAAAATTGTTAAAATTTGTGAAAATGCGTGAATTATAGTCTTTTGTGAAAATTGTGAAAATTTGTGAAAATGCGTGAATTATAGTCTTTTTGTGAAAAATTGTGAAAATTTTTAAAAATCCTGAATTATAGTCTTCTTGTTAAAAATTGTGAAAATTTGTGAAAATGCGTGAATTATAGTCTTTTTGTGAAAAATTGTGAAAATTTGTGAAAATGCGTGAATATGGGTGAATTATAGTCTTTTTGTGAAAAATTATGAAATAGTTTGAAATTGCGTGAATTATAGTCATTTTGTGAAAAATTGTGAAAATTTGTGAAAATGCGTGAATTATTGTCTTTTTGTGAAAAATTGTGAAAATTTGTGAAAATGCGTGAATTATAGTCTTTGTGAAAATTGTGGAAATTTGTGAACATGTGTAAATTATACTCTATTTTGAATAGTTGTTAAAATTTGTGAAAAGGCGTGAATTATTGTCTTTTGTGAAAATTGTGAAAATTTTGAAAATGCGTGAATTATAGTCATTTTGAATGTTTTATGCAGTGAGGTGTTTGAAATTAAATGAAGATTTGATCTTCGCACTTTGCTGGACGATTTAATCAATCGTCTCAGAACTTGAAAAAATCAGGTGACTCAACGGCATTCGAACCCATGACCTCTGCGGTGGCGAACCCATGACCTGATTTTTTCAGGTCCTGAGACGATTGCTTAAATTGTCCAGCAAAGTGCGAAGATCATATCTTCATTTAATTTCAAACACCGCACTGCATAAAACATTCACATGACATTCATTTCATGAGAGAACATAAGCCCAACAATATTGACCTGCTCACCACTGTGTGACTTTATAGCTCAGAGGTCAGAACACTGCACCGGCACCGCAGAGGTTATGGGTTCGAATCCCGTTGAGTCACCTGATTTTTTCAGGTCCTAAGAGGATTGCTTAAATTGTCCATTAAAGTGCGAAGATCATATCTTCATTTAATATAGTATTTTTGTGAAAAATTGTGAAAATCTGTTAAAATGCTTGAATTATAGTCTTTTTGTGAAAACTTGTGAAAATTTGTGAAAATGCGTGAATTATAGCCTTTGTGTGAAAAATTCTGAAATTTTGTGAAAATGCGTGAATTATAGCCTTTTTGTGAAAAATTGTGAAATTTTGTGAAAATGCGTGAATTATAGCCTTTTTGTGAAAAATTGTGAAATTTTGTGAAAATGTGTGAATTATAGTCTTTTTGTGAAAAATTGTGAAAAATTGTGAAAATGCGTGAATTATAGTCAGATGCAGATGCTATACCACCAAATGGAAATCTAAATAAACACATTTCAGTTAGTCATGGTATGAATGATGAAGAATGTCGACAACTTCTATCTGTCTTTTCTTATATTTATAATAAAGATGAAAAATTGTTAAGGATTTATCAGACAAATTAAATCGTCAACCGTTGTTCCTGGCAAATGCTGCTTCCCTTGTAGGTAGAGTAAAAGTGTAAATCCGACATTCACGTGGGAGCAATATTTTGGTAAGCTGAATGAAGGAGAGCGACAGAACATGGATGGCAATTTTCAAAAAATAAGAACATCTTACTTAGGAATGAAAACTATTATGTTAGCAGTACAAAAAAATGCTGAAGTATCCATCTTGTTGGAAGATGTTTTGAAACTTTTCTCAATAATATCTTTCGATCCCTTACCACCAGATGTTATAATATCATTTATTAAAAGCATTGATCTCTTCAAACGAAAACATTTGGACCTGACCATGTTAATATTACGACAACGTACAACAATCTGGGTTTGGTTTACAATAATATGGGAGAGTACGAAAAAGCAAAAGATTTTTATGAACGAGCGATAGTAATTCAAACAAAAACATTTGGGCCTGTCCATGTTAATATTGCGTCAACGTACGTCAATCTAGGTTCGGTTTACAAAAACATGGGAGAGTACGAAAAAGCAAAAGATTTTTATGAACGAGCGAAAGAAATTGAAACGAAAGCATTTGGACATGACCATGTTAATATTGCGTCAACGTACTTCAATCTAAGTTCGGTTTACAAAGATATGGGACAGTACGAAAAAGCAAAAGATTTTTATGACCGAGAGATAGAAATTAAAACGAAAACATTTGGACCTGACCATGTTAATATTGCGTCAACGTACGTCAATCTAGGTTCGGTTTACCACGATATGGGAGAGTACGAAAAAGCAAAAGATTTTTATGAACGAGCAACAGAAATTCAAACGAAAACATTTGGACCTGACCATGTTAATATTGCGACAACGTACAACAATCTGGGTACGGTTTACGAAGATATGGGAGAGTACGAAAAAGCAAAAGATTTTTATGAACGAGCGATAGAAATTCAAACGAAAACATTTGGACCTGACCATGTTGATATTGCGACAACGTACAACAATCTGTGTTCGGTTTACAAATATATGGGAGAGTACGAAAAAGCAAAAGATTTTTATGAACGAGCGATAAAAATTGACACGAAAACATTTGGACCTGACCATGTTAATATTGCGACAACGTACAACAATCTGGGTTTTGTTTACTATAATATGGGAGAGTACGAAAAAGCAAAAGATTTTTATAAACGAGCGTTAGAAACTGACACGAAAACATTTGGACCTGACCATGTTAATATTACGGGAACGTATAACAATCTAAGGTGTAAATCCTCAACCGTAAATAGAAAGAAATGTTGAATCAAGCAACCAAACTATTGACCTTCTCTCCACACACAATTCTTTAAATACAAATTAAATTTTACCAGTTATCACAGTGAACAGAAATTTGTATATTTACACAGCAAAGCCAGTGTTTGGGCTTTTTAGAAAACTTACTAAGCACTATAAATTTTTCATGTAAATAATGCACATGTTAAGATTTTTCTTATTAAACAACTAAAAGAACCAAACAAATACTCCATTTAAACCTTTGCCTGCAGAAATTGAAAATACAATTGTTGCTGGTCAGCTAAAGGCTAAAGAAAACATACCCAAAAGCCAGGGCTAACAAAGCATCTTGTTCTATGAAATGGACTCACAAATCCATTCCTTTCTGTAAAGACTAAACACAATAAAAATCCTTTGCTGACAAGCGTTTTGATAGATCTAGCATTGGTGATCACCTGACAATGTAATTTATCTTTATGTATGTTTTAGATAGTGATGTAGCCAAGAAAAATGGGGCTTTTACTCTAATTATGTGTGTCTGGCCCATATTTTCTGTTGTCATCTCATATGTAGTGTAGTGAGTAACGAAAAAGTAATTGAACAACAAAATATTTATTTTCATAGCACTGGTAGACTTGCTATACGCTACGAGTTGTCATGGTGTTATTAAAGGGTTGAATTCTGATATCTTCCTATGATTCTTATTTTTTTATTTTCCGTAAATTATACACGTATTTAATAAAATATACATTTAAGTTGATTTATCCAAAGGGAACCTACACGGTCTGAGGATCTAAGTTCTTGATACAGGGTGTTTCAAAAAAAGGTAATCCAACTTTTATTTGCTGATGTGTTTAAATTACTGAATAAATAGCTGCAGTTTTGAATATTTAAAAAAGAGTTCTAGGTTCTAGCTATGGAATGCTATGTTGTTTGTTGCGATTTAGAAGGAAAATGAGCGAAATTCAAGAGCCTTGAAAAATTTTGGTCAAAGTCGCATTCTTTCACCTTTGAGCATTTTTTCATCAACATGAAAGGTGCCTCACTTTGATTTTGCTGGTTTGTTGACTGACTATCACATATTTCATGGTGATGTCTCATTTTCAACCTTGACAACATTTAAAATTATCTGACATTTACAATTTTATGATTCAGCAAAATTGATCCTCAAGGATCCTTAATTAAACGTAGTTAAATACATAATAAATTAATAACTACATACGTATAATACAGAAGCTATAGTGATTAAAAATCCTAGTCAAGAAATTTATTTTAATTACATTTATACCTCCTAGCGTGGAGATCAATCATTGCCGCTGAATCATGCAAATTTCAAACTATCGGCTGATTTCAAAGATGACCAGTTCTTTTGAGACATATTGTAAGATATTTTGATTACAAAAAATTTGCAAAGATCATCAAGTGTACGCTCACTACGCTGAAATCGATTGAGGTGTTTAACTACACTGTGAAGTATTTGGAAGAAATAAAAGCATAGAGCACTGTTTCACCCGCTGTTAATTAAGTTGTACTAGATTTTTATCTTTCGTCATTGACTTCAATTTTCGTCGATCAAAACAATAGTTGACTTGAAGTGTGATTTTATTGTTTTTTTTTGTGTCATCTCCATCCTAATCATAAAATATTTCTGAACTATTGTAAAGATAACAACAATACCTGTAACAATAATAATGTAGTAAACCTTGGTACATCATCAAGATTATTTGTTTTATTCCTCTCCAGTGCAGGTATTTAATAGAGCAACTACACAAAAAGAAGAAATTTTATAAAATTAGTCAATAATGATGAAAAAGTTTTAGAGTCAAACTACAAACTTTTCTAGTCGCCAGCAGTGCGAATATGAACGCTAAACGTCTCTTGCTCTGGGCTCTAAATAAAGTTCATAGTTGTATATATACGTCGACGAACTACATACTTTATGTTAGCGACGAATATAAGCACGTACGGAGGTTAAAGTAAATGGATGCCATTCCAAATGAGAAATTTTGGACATTGAAGAAACACATACTGTAAAATGAAGTTTATAAAAACATATGAATGAATGACTGTCCACAAGATGTCGGTTCAAGGGAAGGCCTGGAGAAGGGGAGGAGGGTCCCTCCAAAAAATTTAAACGAAGAACACCGTTGACCTGAGAAATTAACAACGCGCTGACCATAGCATGTCAAAATGTCACATTTTGTACAATACGACAATGAATAATTTATAATAAATGTAGAACGTCAGATCAGAGATCACAGCGAAAAAAGTTATTTTTCAATAATAAAGAAAGCCCCGGTCCCTCAATAATACTCAAACCATTGACAGTCAACATAATATTTTTACACAACAAAATCATTATTGGTGTACACTGAAGCAGTGAAAAAATCCATAAGAAATGACGGTTGTGAAGAAATATGTGAACATTTTATGACCTAACCTGACCAGGTAAATATGAAAATCCAGATTTCTTCATTTGAATTTCAATAACATTTGATGGATGTTTCACAATCTTTAAATAACAACAACAATAAAGAAATGGTTAGTCTTTTTGGCGGAATGGTTTAATGACGACAGCAAAAACAGTCACCTTGGTTACAGTGACAGTTTGTAATGATCTAAGAAAACGAATAAATCTTTCAATGAAATATAGTGACAACGGAGCTACTATCCACTTCCACGACTAAAATAAGAAAATATCTCTATTTGCTACGTTTCCATGTTGATTTAAACAACAGATTTGCTGACCTGTGGTCCTGCGGACTCAAAATGAGGATCAATTTGACATTTTGGTGATAATTGACAAAATTCAGGATCGTGTTCCTTAACATTTGTCTGTCAACGTATTAAACCTCTAAAAAAAGATGAATGTGTACGAGCTATTGCAAGAGAAGAGCCTGGGGACTAGATCAAAAGAAGATGCTCCACAGAGTAACAAGTCCATGTTATTTTTCCAACTTACTGCATGCCATGAACAATCAAACCAACGAAGAAAATAATAAATAAATGATGAGTGAACCAAAAGACTTCAAAATACGAACGTCTGCAAGAAATTCACGTTTGTGAGCAGATGATTGGCGGATGAAAAAACCAATCATTTCACACCTTAGAAGTCCTGTTGATGACGTAACCTAGAAAACAGGAATTAAAACAGGAATCAAACAAGAATGCCCAAGATGAAATTTTGAAAAAGGCCGTTAATTATGTAATATGTAACGGGCTTATTTTAAAGTTCTATGTTGATTGTTGTGCGGTAGTATTCATGAAAAGAATTTGTTTCCATCTAGGCAAAATATATTTGCCATAAAGATGTATGACATAAGATGAAACTAAAGCTGTTGTACGTAGTAAGTCAGAGAAAGGAATTGTTTCCATCTTGGTAAAATATATTTGCAATAAAGATGTATGACATAAGATGAAACTAAAGCTGTTGTACAGTAGTAAGTCAGAGAAAGAAATTGTTTCCATCTAGGCAAAATATATTTGCAATAAAGATGTATGACATAAGATGAAACTAAAGCTGTTGTACAGTAGTAAGTCAGAGAAAGGAATTGTTTCCATCTAGGCAAAATATATTTGCAATAAAGATGTATGACATAAGATGAAACTAAAGCTGTTGTACAGTAGTAAGTGCGAGAAAGGATTTGAGTTGAATGAGCAGAAAATGTTGATGATTTAGTAGCTATAACAAACAGAAGTTGACAAAAATAAAAATCAAATCATGAAACAAAGATTTTTTTTCGACATAAAAGCAAATGTTTTACGTATCTAAATTGTTCAATATATAAATTTTTTACCATGAGTACCAGTACTAATGTCATTATAAAGCCTGAAACACCTGCAACTAATGAAAAAAGGAAAAGTGAATAGTAGTTTTAAAGAAGCAACGACAATTCAATGTTAATTATGTCTTTCACAATTTATAGAAAGCTTTAGATGATACAATGCAATAAATAACGAGTATTGAACCCTGAAAATTTACAAACAAGTTTCTATCTTGTCTTTGGTTAAAATTCAACGTCGCATTTAAACTAAGTGCAAAGGAAAGCGAATTCTTCACAAATCACGATTAAAAATTTTAAATTACACAGCGCAAATCTTGTCATGTTTTCATGTTATCTAAGGTTCTGTTTTGTAAGTAAAAGTATAGTTACCAGTCTTAAAGACTTCAGTTGGAGGGTCCTGTAAAATAATGATGTAATGTTATGTTAATGGTCACGTGAAGAATAAAATTACTTGATGACGTCATGTGGTCTTACTGCATCTTGTTTTCTTATAGGGTTGATGTAAGTATCATTCCCAGAATCCCCAGATCACTCAAATGAAAGCGTAGATCCTTAGAGTCACGACCATAAGCATCAATAAGATTCTCGAAGTTAAAAAGATGCGCTCGGATGTGAATGGCTGAAATTTATGAAAACAAGACAAAGTATTTTTACATATTTAAAATGTTAGAATTTCAATCATCTCATTTTAAATCAACTTTAATACATTAACTTTAAACATGAAACAAAACTTTACGTATCCACAGCCATATGGGAAGGGGTGGGAGGAGGGAGGGGAGGGATGAGAGGGAGGGAAGAGAGGGAGGAGAGGGAGGAGGGAGAGGGGAGAGGGGGATTATTTCTTTTGAGATACTACACCCATAACAACACCCTATTTGTTGAAAAATTTTTTTCAAAAGTTATTCATGATGCTCTGAATTTTCCATAATTTAGTAAAAGCTTATACAGGAAAACAACTTATGTGAAGAAACATATCACATAGGCAATGACTCATGAAATGTGATATTTTTATCAAGTAAACTTGTAAATTGTGACCTGGCTCCACAACACTAAAGTTGAAATATCACAAAAATTATGTCATAAAATGTCTTCAATTCTATGGTTAGTTATCATTGACAACTTTACTTATATGGATGCTCTGAACTTTGTAAGTTACTGAGTAATACTTTATATGGATGCTCTGAACTTGTATACATTGAGTAATACTTCATATGGATGCTCAGAACTTTGTATAGTTACTGAGTAATACTCATACGGATGCTCTGAACTTTGTATAGTTACTGGAGTAATACTTCATATGGATGCTCAGAACTTTGTATAGTTACTGGAGTATCATATGGATGTTCAACTTGTATAGTTACTGAGAGTAATACTATATGGATGCTCTGAACTTTGTATAGTTACTGAGTAATATCATATGGATGCTTTGAACTTTGTATAGTTACTGGAGTAATACTATATGGATGCTCTGAACTTTGTATAGTTACTGAAGGATACTTCATATGGATGCTCTGAACTTTGTATAGTTACTGGAGTAATACTTCATATGGATGCTCTGAACTTTGTATAGTTACTGGAGTAATACTTCAAATTTATATTCAAAACAATAGTTAATCCTCGAAACTACACATGTAGAGAAATTCATTTTTCCTTATATATTTCATAATGGTATGAACTTTTGATAAAGTTATCATGAAGGTTTCTTAAGAGGGGAAACAATAGCATAAGAATATATTTTATAGTTTAGACATGACATGCTGACTTTTAACCAATAAATTTAATTTTTATGGAAAAAGCGTAAGAGGGAGGAATGTCTCTCCGACCCCACAGTTCCTGAAACACTACAAACATAAATGGACTGAAATTCTTAAGCCACTGTATTTAAAATCTCTTTTAAAACCTTAAGTTCTTTTAATATTCCTCAAATTCCAGTTTCATTAAACTTCATACTATTTCATCAAGTTGGCTAAATTATTTCATTTAAAGCCAGCTTAGGTGGTTTGGCATTTGATAAAGTGACCAAGAAAGTGCTGAAATTGTGAGAAAGCTGCATATGAATGTTGATATAGTCCATAAATGCAGGTGACCGAAAGAGATGGATGGATGCCAGAACAGTGATAAGGAAGGGATGGGTATAACGACAGATATGATGAGATAGACATGTTTAATGGAAAATTCATGGACTGTCAATCTCTTTAGCGGGTTTTAATACTTCCTAAATGTTGTTTGTTTGTTGTTGTGTTGTATTTCATCAAGTTACACTTATGTATGTATTTAAACTAATTTCTCAAAAAGTTTCAAACATACGTTAGCAATTACTTATGTGTTGTAACCATGACAACTATTTGACTTACTTACATCTACACCTCGAAGAAATGACAACATGTTTCGACAGACAGGAAGAAGAATTAAAAAGCAATTGAAATTAAGAACTGCAGCTGATGCTCTTGCCCATGCCAAACCAGACTAGAAATGATAAACCAAAGAATGTTGAAGGTTTTTTAATTTACAAATGATGACACACAACAGCTGCATTAAAATTAAACATTGAATAAGCTTTGATCAGCTTACATATTTAATAATAAACCAAAGTCAAAGTGAATACATGACAAATTAATGACCACAATTATCAAAATGTTCAGCATCACCATGTATAATGGTAGTCAAAGAGGTGTGAACTGGACCCCTGTCAAAGACATGTGTGAACAATGCATGCACAACTTGACCCCCTGTCAGAGACAATGTGTGAACAATGCATGCACAACTTGACCCCCCTGTCAGAGACAATGAACAATGCATGCACAACTTGACCCCCTGTCAAAGACAATGTGTGAACAATGCACACAACCAGACTCCATGTCATAGACAAAGAGAGTGAACACACATCCACAAGTTGATCCCCACTACCAGGGACAAAGTGTAAACAAAGCATGCACAACTTGACCCCCCTGCCTGATACAAAGAGTTTGACAACTGATGGCAGACAGTACAATATAAACAAACAGCCCAAAGGATATAAGCAACGTGATTATTTACAAGCAAGCATGATCTCAAATAGTTCTTACAAGGAAATGACGTAGATATAAGGAAAGTTGCCACTGATTTGTACTTCAAACAGAGTGAGACCAAGTGCATTTATAAACTACGTTTGTACGCAGTAAATTACAATGGTACACTTTTATATATTCCTTGCCCTACCTTGGTCAATACACGAAGATAATAATAATCTTTACTGGTGTCGTATTGATGAAAAGTTAGACCAAAAATAAGAGAGTTTATTCCAACCCAGATTATCTACGAAATGAGAAGCAAGAACGTATTAAAATTAAAAGTTTTAGCACATCAAAGTATAAATAAATAATGAGATAATTAAGAAAGGAATCCTAAAACATCAAAGTAAATTTTCACCAACCACAAGAACCCATTTCATACGATCGATTTGATTCATTTTCCGTCAAAATTCAAATTTTCCCTGGACAATCAGCATTTTAAACAGCAAGTAGAAAAATATATATTACTGTCTGTCATCTGTCAAGCGTGATATTTTAATTTTCTTCTACTTTTGAACCACGAAGGAAGTCAAGAAACAAACAAACATCACTATGCAAATTATGCAAGCAACTTGGTTCTGAATATTTAATTATTGGAGCAATTGGGATCAATGCTCGATGGCAGGGGGGCGCGGTGTCATCGTCATATAATTATAATCCTTAGTCCAAAATGTCTTTTGTGGGGCAAAATCGATTCCCGGGTGTTAATGGTAAAATAGATCAGGATACGTTCTGTGGTAGACATGGTGGCCCATAAGTACACTACACGAACACAAATGGAAATACACTAACGCCTGTCCATATTCTGCTTACTTTAACAATGACAAAACAATAAGTAGACAGTTTACATCACAATTGCTGGCAGTTTAATATTCCGAACTTACATTCTCACGATGGAAGAAGCAATATAGTATTACTTTAGTAGGAATTATCAAAACAAAACTACAAGCACTCTTATACGTTCAATACTGTTAAGAAAGTGATGAAAATCTTACATGGTTGTTGCCAAGAAAAAATATCCAGACTGAATGCTAAACAAAAGCAGGTATTTATACTTTCTACATAATACAATTAATGAACCAATCAGTTGGTGAAATAATTGTTTCCACAGTATATTATGGATTTCACCACAAGCAACAAATACAATATTGGAATGTCACATAATATTTAGATGCAAAGATATGACTTTAACGTCCACACTAGACAATATCAAACGTCAAAGGAACTTTTCTCGTAAAGAATGGATGAAAACTCTTCAACTAATTCATTGTAGCGATGATATGTGCTTAAACTTCAAGTAAAGGACCACAAGTATGCAAACAGGCGGACGGCAAATGTTTTAAGACGTTGAATGTGATCTTCAACTTTATTTCTAGCAGTAGCAGAACCACATTGGCTCCAGCAGTAATGGAAATTGAACATTTAATGAATTTTCCAATTTCTTTATTATCAAACAGAAGTATCAAGTGGCTGGTTTCGTCTTCTTTTAATCTTTCCAAATTATTAAGGTATGTTGATTATAAAGTTCTTCAGAGTGTAGTTGTTGGTTCTTATGTCTAGAATTTTCTTGTATTTGTTATAAAAACCTGAATGTCATTTTCGTGGTAGAATTCGCGCTTCATATGTTTTATATTGATACATCGGTTGATTTTGGTGGGATTTTCCAATAACACATTCGATGATTATCGTTTCAAAATACTGGCCTTTCTTGCATTATCACCAAATACCAATTTCAGTAGTCTTTCAAATATCATTGGTACGGCAGGGCTAAAAATCAACAAATGAATCAAAAATCATGACACGTCACAATTTAGTTATGTATATCATAATGTGATTGATTTTAATTTTATCAAACATGGCTCTAACCAAGAACAATATTTCTCCTCTTTTATACAGTCATCTATCTATTTATCTTATTCGTACCACAGATGATGACATAAAAACGTTTTGCTAGGTATGTCTTTAAAAATTGCGCCTAATTGGAGAAAGATCACTTCTTCACGTGATAGTACACGTGATTTTTTTCTGGTCTATATTTGTTCAACTTGTTGTAAGATAGACTATTTAAAATATTTGTTTGTGTCAAAAGTTCGCAAAATGACAATACTTTGCATGATGAAGTGTCAAGTCCAAACGCTATCAGTTTTATAGTATCTATGATTACTGAGATGTGACAAAATTATTCTAAATTAGAGACTTCGAGATTAATTACCTCATATTCCTCTTCTTAAAACGATTGCCCCTGAAATCTTAAGCTCCTCCCCAATTTTACTTGTTTACGCCCCTGATCAGATTATTTGTTTATCCGTATCCAAAGTTTACAAAATGACAAAACTTCATTGACAACGTTTCAAAGTTGAACGCTGAGAATTTTAGAGAAGCTCTGTTTATCGATTTTCTTAACTTCCTAAAATATTAATCTTTAATTTTGAGCTATCTTTGGCTGGCTGCCCGTCTTCGTTTATGATTATTTCAGTTAGTTTGCATGTAAGTCAGGATGTTCAATAATTGAAATAAATAATAGTAAATTGTGAAAGGTTTATTGGCATAAAGCTTCCAAGTCAAAACTTCTTTGTGTTTACTTCAGTCATAACCAAAATAAAAAATTTGCATTTCATATTTTATTGGGTATGAACAGAATTCAATGTTTTACAATAGAAACAGCAGGTGATTAAAATTGAACATTTATTGAACATTCCAATTTCTTTATTATCAAGCAGAAGCAAGGGCATCACGTAGCTGGTTGTGTCTTCTTTAATCTTTCTAAATTTGTTAAGGTATGTTGATTATAAAGTTCACCTATCAGAGAGTACTTGTTCATTCTTATGTCTAGAATTTTGAGATATTTGTTATAAAAAACCTGAATGTCATTTTCGTGGTGGACTTCGCACTTCATATGTTTTATATTGATACGTCTTTTGATTTTGGTTGGATTTTCCCAATAACACATTGGATAATTTATCATTTCAAAATACTGACCTTTCTTGCATTATCCCCAACAATTAGTTTTGCTTGTCTTTTAAAATATCATTGGTACGAAAGGCTAAAAAATCAACAAAATGAATCAAAATCATGACACGTCACAGAATTTCAGTTATGCATATCATAAATGCGGAATGATTTTAATTTTATCTAACATGGCTTTTATCAAGAAGAATTTTTTTTCTTTTTTACACAGTCTTCTATTACTTATCTTATTCGTATCACAGATGACGACATAAAAACGTTTTGCTAGGTATGTCTTTAAAAATTGCGCCTAATTGGAGTGAAAAGATCACTTCTTCACGTGATAGTACACGTGATTTTTTTCTGGTCTATATTTGTTCAACTTATTGTAAGATAAACTATTTAAAATATTTGTGTGCGTCAAAGGTTCACAAAATGACAATACTTTGCATGATAAAGTGTCAAGTCCAAAAGCTATCAGTTTTGTAGTATCTATGATTACTGAGATGTGACAAAATTATTCTAAATTAGAGACTTCGAGATTAATTACTCTCATATTCTTCTTAAATAAAGATTGCCCTAAAATCTTGAGCTCCTCCCCAAATTTTACTTGCTTCTACCCTGATCAAATTATTTGTTTATCCGTATCCAAAGTTTACAAAATGACAAACTTCATTGACAACGTTTCAAAGTTGGAACGCTGAGAATTTTAGAGAAGCTCTGTTTATCGATTTTCTTAACTTCCTAAAATATTAATCTTTAATTTTGAGCTATCTTACTTTTAAAAGGCTGGCTGCCTGTCTTCCTTTATGATTATTTCAGTTAGTTTGCATGTAAGTCCGGATGTTCAATAATTGAAATAAATAATAGTAAACTGTGAAAGGTTTATTGGCATAAAGCTTCCAAGTCAAAACTTTTTTGTGTTTACTTCAGTCATAGCTAAAATAAAAATTTGCATTTCATATTTTATTGGGTATGAACAGAATTCAATATTTTGCAATAAATACAGCAGGTGATTAAAATTGAACATTTATTGAACATTCCGATTTCTTTATTATCAAGCAGAAGCAAGGGCATCACGTAGCTGGTTGCGTCTTCTTTAATCTTTCTGAATTTGTTAAGGTATGTTGATTATAAAGTCCACCTATCAGAGTGTACTTGTTTATTCTTATGTCTAGAATTTTGTTATATTTGTCATAAAAAACCTGAATGTCATTTTCGTGTTGGAATTCACGCTTCATAAGTTTTATATTGATACATCTGTTGATTTTTGTGGGATTTTCCCATTAACACATTGGATAATCTATCATTTCAAAATACTGACCTTTCTTGCATTACCACCAACACTTAATTTCGCTTGCCTTTTCAAATATCATTAGTACGGCAGGGTTAAAAAATCAACAAAATAAATCAAAATTATGACACGTCACAGAATTTCAGTAATGCATATCATAAATGCGGAATGATTTTAACTTTATCTAACATGGCTTTTATCAAGAAGAATTTTTTCCTTTTTTATACAGTCATCTATTACTTATCTTATTGTAAGATAAACTATTTAAAATATTTGTTCGTGTCAAAGTTCGCAAAATGACAATACTTGCATGATGAACTGTCAAGTCCAAACGCTATCAGTTTTGTAGTATCTATGATTACTGAGATGTGACAAAATTATTCTAAATTAGAGACTTCGAGATTAATTACTCATATTCCCTTCTTAAATAACGATTGCCCTGAAATCTTAAGCTCTCCCCAAATTTTACTTTCTTTTACGCCCCTGATCAGATTATTTGTTTATCCGTATCCAAAGTTTACAAAATGACAAAACTTCATTGACAACGTTTCAAAGTTGGAACGCTGACAATTTTAGAGCTCTGTTTATCGATTTTCTTAACTTCCTAAATTATAAATCTTAATTTTTGAGCTATTACTTTTAAAAGGCTGGCTGCCTGTCTTCCTTTATGATTATTTCAGTTAGTTTCCATGTAAGTCAGGATGTTCAATAATTGAAATAAATAATAGTAAACTGTGAAAGGTTCATTGGCATAAAGCTTCCAAGTCAAAACTTTTTGTGTTTAATTCAGTCATAGCTAAAATAAAAAATTTGCATTTCATATTTTATTGGGTATGAGCAGAATTCAATATTTTACAATAAAAACAGCAGGTGATTAAAATTGAATATTTATTGAACATTCCAATTTCTTTGTTATTAATCAAAAGCAAACACATCACGTAGTTTGTTGTGTCGTCTTTAATCTTTCTAAATTTGTTAAGGTATGTTGATTATAAAGTTCACCTATCAGAGTGTCATTGTTCTTATGTCTAGAATTTTGTTATATTGTCATAAAAAACCTGAATGTCATTTTCGTGTGGAATTGCGCTTCATATGTTTTATATTGATACATCTGTTGATTTTGGTGGGATTTTCCAATTAACACATTGGATAATTTATCATTTCAAAATACTGACCTTCTTGCATTATCACCAACAATTAATTCTGCTACCTGTCTTTCAAATATCATTGGTACGGCAGGGCTAAAAATCAACAAGATGAACCAATGTTATGACACGTCACAGAATTTCAGTTATGCATATCATATTGATAATGTGCAGTAATTTTAATTCTATCTAACATGGCTTTTATCACGAAGAATTTTTTTTCCTCTTTCATATAGTACGTAGATTGCAGGTGAGCTAACGTCCTACTTTGGTACGTAGATTGTAGGTGAGCTAACGTCCTTTTACTTAAGTACGTATTGTAGGTGAGCTAACGTCCTTTACTTAAGTACGTAGATTGCAGGTGAGCTAACGTCCTTTACTTAAGTACGTAGATTGCAGGTGAGCTAACGTCCTTACTTAAGTATGTAGATTGCAGGTGAGCTTAACGTCTTACTTAAGTACGTAGATTACAGGTGAGCTAACGTCCTTTACTTTAAGTATGTGGATTGTAGGTGAGCTAACGTCCTTACTTAAGTATGTAGATTGCAGGTGAGCTAACGTCCTTACTTAAGTACGTAGATTACAGTGAAAGCAACGTCCTTACTTAAGTACGTAGATTGCAGGTGAGCTAACGTCCCCACTTCTATAATGTAGATTACAGGTGAGCTAACGTCCTTTTCTTAAGTACGTAGATTACAGGTGAGCTAACGTCCCTACTTGGTATGTAGATTACAGGTGAGCTAACGTCCTTACTTAAGTACGTAGATTACAGGTGAGCTAACGTCCTTTACTTAAGTAATGTAGATTGCAGAGCTTAACGTCCTTACTTAAGTAATGTGATTACAGGTGAGCTAACGTCCTTTACTTAAGTACGTAGATTACAGGTGAGCTAACGTCCTTTACTTAAGTATGTAGATTACAGGTGAGCTAACGTCCTTTACTTAAGTACGTAGATTGTAGGTGAGCTAACGTCCTTTACTTAAGTACGTAGATTGTAGGTGAGCTAACGTCCTTTACTTAAGCCTTTTGTTTCATGATCCATCTCTTTCATATAACCTAATTCAGTAGACGTCTTTTTAGCTTTTTATTAATTGCCTATGCAAACGACCGCATGGCGTTAAGCTCGAATGCCGACAAGCACTCAAACTTCTGGGGGTCCTTTGCCTCCTCTCCAATAAGCTTATGCCACACCCAATATATTTGTAAGAAACAGACACCTGGTACTGTTTTTTCGGTCTAAATGTGTTGAGTTTGAGTTACTCGCCATATCTCTTTTAGTAATATACTCTATACCTTCAGTAACAACCACGAGTCAACTTAATGATCGAACTGATTTTTGTTATTTTACAGAGCAGTATTTATAGTCTTTATTACAAATAACAAATATTATTATTGGTTGAAATAGTTTCTCTATTTAAGCTATATATGGTACATAAGGAAATTTAACTAACGTCAATAACTGTTCCTTGGCTGTTAGCCGTGTGGTAACGATACATTTTTAAACCAAACTACACACATACTATTTCCTTAACCTGTTTCTGTGGTTTATTGGCATGACTAAACATCCCCACTTGCTCATAAACTAAATTAACAAATTAATATCTATTTACCAGTTATAAATGTTTTGAGTCTACTTAATTTAATCTTATTTACAGCTTTCGTAAATATATCAGCCACATTTTCATGTGTTGCTACATACATAATTTCTATTTTACCAACCTTTATTTCACTTCTGATAAAATGATATCTAATATCTATGTGTTTTGACCTTTTGTGGTACATAGGGTTCTTTGCTAAGTTAATTGCACCCTGATCGTCAACATTCAACAAAACATACTCGCCTTCCTTACAAATACGCAAATCAAAACACAAATGTTTCGAAAATTTTGCTTCCTGAATAGCTTCAGTCAATGCCATATACTCAGCGTCACAAATTGACAAAGCAACTGTAGATTGCTTCTTACTCCTCCAAGAAACCAAACCACCGTTCTCACTAAACCTGAAACCAAAACTGAAAATACCTGTCATCCATCGCCAGCCCAATCAGAATGAAAAACCAATCAATTTTAAACCACTTTCACATTTTCTAAACGTAAATGTCTCATCTATTGTATCCTTTAAGTATCTAAGAACATGCTTGGCCTCTATTAGGTTTACTTGTGTCGGTTTTGCCATCTTTTGAGACAACTTTGTTACAATAAAGCACAGATCAGGTCTAGTTCCTGTCATAACATATATAAGACTACCGACAATTTGTCTGTTAAGACTCGGATCTTCTAACTGAGGCGATTGATCATGCGACATTTTATTTTTATCGGAAGATGATGGAGTGGGTTTGGGTTTACACTCCGACATGCCAAATTTTGTTAGTAACTTTATAATATTGCCTTTGACTCATTGTTGTTTCACCTTCTTAGCATTTGAATTCAGTCCCTAAGACCCAGGACAATATTCCTAAATCTTTCATCTTAAAACGGTCGCTTAAGATTTTCTTGACACTCTGCATTAATATGTCATTGTTAGCAACTATGATAATATCATCTACCCATACTATTAGAATAGTAACATCTTTTCCTTCAAATCGCGTGTAAACGTTTGGGTCGACTAATAATTGTTTGAAAGTTTTCCCGATTGAGTGTTCATGCAATACGTTATTCCGATTCCTACCACTTTGCTTTAATCCATACAAAGACTTTTTCAACCTGTACACTAATTTTTCACCATTTTTATCTACTTCCTTATATCCTTCGGTTTAATGCATATGAATTTCGCAGTCTATTGGGATGTTAATATAAGCTGTTTTTACATCCATCTGATGCAATAACATGTTGTTTTGAACAGTGTGTTGAAGCAATACACGGATAGAACTCATGCGTGCAGTTGGCGAAAAGGCTTCGTTGTAGTCAATACCGAGAGTCTGCGAGTATCCCTTTGGCTATATAACGGGCTTTATGGGTCTCTTTTTCATGTTGCCCTACTTTTACAGAGTATCCTCCCCTGAAACTTCTTTTGTCACATACTCGTTAAGATATTTACTCTTACTTTTTATCCTAGTGGGGTATCTTGATTCTCTAGATGTCACTGGAGTACTAATGTCTTCGTTAGTTGTTTTGGGGTTTCTTTCATGCAATTTTGCTATCTGAGGTGCAAGTTCTTCATCGTCTAGTTCTGGCAGTTCACTGCTACCCTCCCTGAAGAACTTAATGCATCTTACACGCTGTACCTTGTTGATGTCAGGGTAGTATAGTAGATATGCTGGACTATTTTTGTCATACCGTACGAAAATACCTTGTTTACTTCTAGAGTCTAATTTTTTTGAATTTTGTGAATAACCATAACAAACACGACCAAAAACGTGCATTTTGCTCAAGTCTGGTTTTGAGCCTGTAAACGCTTCGAACGGAGTTTTGATAAAACTCGAATTAAAACAACGATTCCTAATATAAGCAGATGCTATGACGGCATATGTCCACATGGATTTTGGTAGTTCCGCTTCTAGCAATAGACACCTAACCATGTTAAATAAAGTTAACCACGATCTCTCAACTGTGCGGTTCTGGTGTGGCGAATATGGTGCACTAGTTTCATGTCTAATTTTGTCTTTCCTAAGAATCGATTTAAATTCTCGCTTGTAAATTCAGTGCCGTTATCACTTATGCGCTTCACATTTCCGTAAGGTGCAA